AGGCGTGCCTGGCTGGTCTCTGTAGTGAGTTCCAGGGCAGCCAGAGCTAACTAACCAGACCTTGTCTCCAACCAAAACAACAGCAGCCTGACTCTTTACATCTTGGTTCAGAGCTCCATAAGTGGTAGAAAAGCTGTACCTGGTGGCACATGCCTATAATCCCAGGATTTCAGAGGCTGAGGCAGGGGGTTTACCATGAGTTCAGTCTGGGCTACGTCGTGAGACTCTGTCTCAAGAAAAAAAAAAGTGATTAAAGGAAACAGCTTTCTGTCCCTACCCCACTTTCCATAAGTGACCTTCGCCTTTGTCGTGGGCCCAGGAGGACAGTGGGGAAACTGAGACACAGCGGACAGACCCAGAGGACAGGAACGGCCTGAGAACGAGCCCAGTGTTTTAGCTATCTGGAACTGCAACTGGAGGACAGCAGGCCCAGCTGAGTGACCTCAGGCAAGCGACCGTCCCTCTCTGGCTTCTGGCTAAGAGTAGCTTCCGGCAGAGGGAAGAGCAATTATCGTATTGGACAAGAGTTGGCTGCGATCATGAGTCCCCAGCTGCTAGAGTCACTCACCCACCCCCACCTCCATCCAATCCCACGCGGAGAGATTAGGGTTGGGAGAGGGCCAGGTACTCCTTCACTCTGTGGGAGCGGAGCGGGGCCGGCCGTGTGGTGCAGAGGTGCCGAACTGGTGGGGAGTTACAAAGGCTGATGGGAGGGGGCCGCTGTGTGAGCCTCGGATGTCCCTTCAGGCTGGAAGCCGTGGGAGGTTATTTAGCCCTGAGGACTCTAATCAGATTAGAGAAACTGATCCCAGCAGGGGGAGCTGTGAGAAGGCCAGAGCAGGGATCTGAGGCAGATCTGGCCAGAAGTAAGGGGGAATGGTGAGTTGGAGAGGCAGGCTGACTCTGCCCACTCCCGTAGAGTGAGCTGGACTTGGGGAGGTGCAGACACAGACCAGCAGGAGGGAGGGTCCTGGCTGTGGTGGGGTCTCAGGCTTGCTTGCTGGGTGGAGGAGGACGCCTAAACCCGGCAAGCTGTGGGTGGAAGGCCATGAGCTGGCTGCTGGCTGGTTTGAATTGGGGGTGTCTGTAGGCCTCTGGAGTAAGTCCAGGAAGCAGCTGGAGATGTTGGTTTTACAGAGAAGGAGCCAGAAGGTCAGAGGGTTATTTTTTTTAATGATTTATTTACTTTTATTTTATATACATTAGTGTAAAGATGTCAGATCTGTGAAGTTACAGACAGTTGTGAGCTGCCATGTGGGTGCTGGGAATTGAACCTGGGTCCTTTGGAAGAGCAGACAGTACTCTTTACCACTGAGCCATCTCTCCAGCCCCAGAGGGGTTATTTTTGTCAGCTTTCCAAGGCTAGGAAAAGGGCCGGTGCAGGATTTGAATGTGGGTCTGAAAAGGTAACAATGTCACTTGGGGCGCTGACACTGGGTTCAGTTGCCTTGGCCCAGGAACCCTGTTCATCTTGGGAGTCAGTACAGCCATCTTTCCACTGCCAAGCCCAACAACCACAGAACGCTGCAATAGGTTCCTCACGCCCAGACCTCTGCTCTGTAGAGAGCTGCCCCAGGCAATCCCAGCATCTTGTTGCCTCAGTACTCTGTACAGACAGCTAGGTGCTTGAGCTGTGCGCAGGTACCTGGGTGCTTGTACTGTGTCCGGGTACCTAGCACCATGTGCGGGAGGCTGTGAAGGCTGTCTCCCTTTGAAGAACAGACACTGACTCCAACTACAACAGAGGGGTGGACCAACTCAAGCCCCTAGAGGTTCAGGATTCCTTTCGCTCTGTAGACATCTGGGCTTCTGTGTGACCTGACAGACTGACAAGGGGGCTTCCCCAGAGGGTCTCCAGCCCCAGCCCCCCCACCCCTACTCCGTTGGCCCCGATTTCAGGCCTGCAGCTTAGAGCCCCCAACTTGCCACCCCTCCCCAGCCCTTCCCTCGTCATGGCCAGCTCGCTGGGGAACTGCCAGGCCTGCCCCGCCCCCTCCCGGGCTGTGCTCCTGGCAGCTCTGCCACCCTGGGCTCTGGTCCGGGGGTGGTCCCTGGCGTCAAGGGAAGCTGGCAGAGACTGGGATTAACGAGGCTGAGACCCGGGACTTTGGGAGATTCCCCCACACACACACACACTCAGACCCCACTTCACAGCTCACTGTGCTCCAAGCTGGGTGGGCAGGGCTTTCTGGAAAGGGGTAGCTTGAGGTTTTAATCACTTTATCAATGTTTGTTTGTGTAACTCCGCCCCCAAGATGCGTTCCCCTCCATCTGTCCCCACCATCTGCTTTCATCAGGATTTTCCAAACCGTTGGGGACCCAAGAGGCATGGAATGGGGGCTGGGTCTGTCTTCTGAGTGGGCTGGAGAAGGGGCAGACCTGCCCACTTCAGAGCGGGACCTTCAGTTCCTGAGTCACACAGAACTGGCTCAGGGTGGAGACTTCAGTCCTCTGAGCCTGAGCTTGAAGTGGAGCAGGGAAGAGCTCGGCACACAGTAGGTAGGCAGGAGATAAGTGTTGTCCAGGCAGTGGCAGCATGGTAGAAGACCAGGGTAGCCACCCAGGTTTCTTTTTAATTAACTATTAATTAATAAATAGTTAATAAATTTTAACCCGGACTTCCCAAGCAGCAAGCCCTCTGCTGCCTTTTTCTGAACTAAGCTACAGGGTGCTTGTTTTGGACACAGGGTCTTGCAGAGTGTAGGGAGCAGCTAGGCCTCCTCTTTGCCTCAAGAGCCTTTCCAGTGCTTCTATGGCTCTTGGGAGCGTAGAGGTGGCCAGTATGAGCAGCCAGCAGAGCCCATGATGGCTCAGACTCTACTTTCAGATGCAGGATGGGGAGACACACCGCTCTTTGCCTTAGAAGCACACCACTGTGGGGGCAAGATGCAAACAGGGGGGTGCTGAGGGAAGCCTCTGGAATCACCCTCCCAAAGAAGAAAAGCATCGGAGCCCACTGAACCTGCGTCTGAGCCAAGAGTTGGTCTAGAGAAAAAGGGGTGTACACCGAGACCCTGCACCGAGGGGAAAAATCAAGCCAGGGTCGGAAGTTCCAGCTTCCAAGCAGGAGAGCGGGGAAAGAACTGGTGGCGGGATGGAGGGATGGGGTTGACTTTTTCCACGTGGCTGTCCTAGGAGAGGGGAGGGAGGTTGTCACAGAAGGGTCTGGGGCGGGGGCTAAGCAGATCTCTCCTCCCTAGCAGCCTGCAGGGCTTCCTGAAGGAGGCAGCTGGGAACCACCCACACTCGTCTGGCGTCTCTCACGCCTCCACTGGGGGTCCCAACACCGGAGCCAAGGCACAGAGTGGAGCCGGTGTTCCTGGGAGCCCAGCTGTCCCTACCCCATCCGGGTCTGACTCTCTGGCTCTGTCGATGTGGCCCCCTCCCCCACTTTTCCTCCAAGCACAAGAGGTGAAGGCTAGACTGATCTGAGAGGCCTGCTCTAGACACCTGCAGGGGTGGTTTGGTTTATCTCTTGGGCAACCAGGGTGACTGTTCTCTCTCTTTTTCTTTTCTTTCTTTCTTTCTTTTTTTTTTTTTTTCTTTTTTTTTCAAGACAGGATTTCTTGTGTAGCCTTGGCTGTCCTGGACTCGCTCTGTAGACCAGGGGCTGGCCTCGAACTCACAGCGATCGGCCTGCCTCTGCCTCCCCGAGTGCTGGAACCACAGGATGATCTGAACCCACCAGGAAGAGCTGTCAAACGCAGGGAGAGTGGCAAATGCCGTCAACTCCATCTTCTGAGGAGGTCCGGAAACCTGGCTCCTTCTGTCTGTCTTTCCTTGACAGAAGGCTCCCTCCTGCGGGTGGCTGCCGGGAAGGCAGACCCTCTCACTCTATTCAAAGCAGCAAAGGCTCCTGCTCTCCCCTGGAATGCTGTCTGAAGCGCCCATTGTTCTGCCACTGCTCTAACCTTTCCCCAAACCGCTTTTCTAACACGCCACGGAACTACGCGTGTTACACCATTGTTTCTTCTGCATGAGCGCAGGCCCCTGCCTGAAACAGTGCCGAGTGCAGAAGCAAAGCATGAAAAATATTTTCGAGATGGATGAATGAGCGCTCCTGAATTGGAAAAAAGCCTTTAACCCTTCTGGGTCTCAGTTTCCTCATCTGCAGTGAAGAACACAATGAGGTCCACATCCTAGAGAAAAGAATTTAAGCTCAGGACGCAGGGACTGTCACCAGGGCCGGAGGAGGGTGCGTGCCGCCCCCATACAGGCAGGAGGAGCTAGGACCCCCATCGTTGTCGCCTCTAGACAGTTGCTGTCCTGAGTGTAGATGAGAGGCCTACCCACTTCAGAACACTCCTCCCCCCCCCCCCCCCCCCGCCAGCCTCCAAGGGGGAGACGAGTCTCTACACTGGCAGGTCACAGGCCTTCACTCGCAGAGGCTGGGGGAAGAGAGAACGCCCTGCCTGGAGGAGTGCTAGGAAGAGCGAGGTACAGGGATGGTGGGAGGTGGCATTAATTCTTAGATGGGGTGGGGGTGAAATCCGGAGTAGTAGGCAGAGGGGGGCGGGCCCTCCGAGGCGGAGGTAGGCAGGGGGCGTGTCTGGCCCCTGAGAGACCCTGGGGCTGAGGAATGGGCGCTCCCACCTCCCCAGAGAGCCTCCAGCTCAGCTAGCTCGGGAGTCGAGGTGCGGGGGCAGCAAGGGTGCCTATCGGATTCCGCCCTCGGGGCGACGGGCGGCCCCGCGCCCAGGTAGGGGCGGCTCGTTCCGGGCTCTGGGCGCTGAGCCGCCTCCTTCCCGGTCCTCCCCGGGTCGGCTTGGAGAGCTGGGGGGTCCCGATCGTTCTCCCGCGGCGGCGGGGTGCTCCAGAGAGAGAGAGAGAGAGAGAGAGAGAGAGAGAGAGGCGGTGGGTGGGGGGCGGGGCAGCGAGGGCGTCCCGTTCCCCCTCCCGGGCGGGGGCGGGGGCGGGGGCGGGGCCTAGCTGCCGGCGGGGGGACCCCCCTAGGGGAGGGGCTCCGGGCCAACGCTGCGGGGCGTCTCCCTCGCAGTCCCGCCCGCCCCTCCGGCCGCCTCTGCCGCCGCGCGCCGCAGCAGCGCCGCCTCCTCTGCGCAGTCGGTGTCTCGGCGTCGCTGGGGTGAGTGGGGGCCGCTCCGGCCGGGGTCGGGGACCGAGGGAGGGCAGCCCCGGAGCCAAGGACCCCACGTCCAGGGAGCCTCCTCCCCGAGCCTCGCGTGGGATCCCTCCCACCCGCGGCGCTGCCAGCCCCGGGCTGCCCCCGGGGACGGCGCGTGGCGCTCTCCAGGGTCCTGACCGCCGAGTGGCCGGCTCCTGGGAGCCGCGCGTGCACCGTCCCGGGCGCCCCCTCCAGGAGGGACCTCGCGCCCGCCCCAGTGCTGAAAGGACGGAGGCGGGGGCCCGGGGCTGGAGCCTGGGGAGGGCAGGAGGGGATGCCAGGGCGGGCTTCTCGGATCGAGCTGAGGTCCCTCCTGCTTTGGGCACTGGGGCGTGGGGGTCTTTGCGGAGAAAACAGACCCTTCCTCAGGCTGGCAGAGGCGATGCCAAGGGTGTCCGGGAGGCAGGGGCACCCGGGGCAGCGCTCCTGCCCGGCGCATCGCTCTGCCCCCGCCCCGCTGACCCAGTTCCTTGGACCTTGAGGAGGGGACACGCTCCCCTGCTCAGCCCTGCGCATTTCCCCAGTCCCTTTCCACACACTTGTTCCGTGGCTCCTCAGCCTGGGGCAGTAGGGGCTGGTCTAGAAAGGCGGGGGGGGGGGCAACAACTTACAGGGACGGGCATGGCACACTGCTGAGGACGGACACGGGTCCCCTCGCATCCCCGGGTCCGTCCCTCTCTTTGTGACAGATGCACACCGGCTCACCACGCATATAGAATTCACACGCAGACACGCACCGAAACGCACAGGGCGCTGGATGCGGTGCAGAACCCGGGACCCACATCCTGTGTGAGCCCATGTATTCAACACGCAACCACACACATGTTCGAGAGCCTCACGGGCCTCCACGCGTAGGGAACCCCCTTCACCCTGTCTCAGCGGCCTCTCCAGCCTCAGGAGCTGCTTGCACACGCCCCTACACCTGTTCTCAGGACTGCCTGGCTCTCTCCCCTCTGTTGCTCGTCTGTTCCCTCACACTCCAATCCCTGCCCCGAGGGGGCCTTTGGAAACCAGGTAAAGGGTGAGTGAGGAAGGGGTTCGGGCGGGCTGGGGAGGGCTCCCCAAGAAAAAAAGAATCCCCAGCAGGTCTGGGGAGGGCTGCAGCTCCCTCTCCCGGGACCTGGCAGCACCTCTGGTATGGAAAGGCAAATGACAAGGGTGCCTGAAGGTCCCACGTGCGGCTGGCCATGTGAGAGGTGTCGGCACGGGAGTCGGCGTGTGGTGGCATGTGTGAGACTTGTGGGGTCGTGGGCTGCTGTGTCTTGATGCGCAGGGGATGGGAGTTGTGCGTGGTGCCATGTGTCGGCGCGTGTGAGTTGTGGGGCGGTGGGATTGCTGTGCGCGGCGGCAAGGCCACCCGTGTGCGGCAAGGGCTGGTACCTGAGTGGCAGAGAACCCAGCAGGCGCATTTGGCGATCCGGGGGCCGCTCTGCGTGCTGGGGGCCACGCACTTGCCTGTGTGCCTGATCTTTGTGGCATCTGAGTACATGTAAATCATTTCTTGCCCCTTTCACATGGATGCAGCGCTTGCCAGCTCAGGCATGGTTCTAAGTGCTCACAGGTATTCAGTGATTTTTGTTTTTGTTTTTCAAGACAGGGTCTCTCAGGGTAGCCTTGGCTGTCCTGGACTCACTCTGTAGACCAGGCTGGCCTCGAACTCACAGAGATCTGCCTGCCTCTGCCTCTGCCTCTGCCTGGGATCACAGGCGTGCGCCTTGCCAGGCTTGGTGGTAACTGATTTAATCCCCACAAAACCCCTCTGAAGTAAATACTGTTATGAAACCCACTCTGCAGTTGGGACAGGGAGTTTGAGGGACTTGCCCAAGGCGCACGGCCGATCAGAGGGAGGGCTGGGCCCCGAGCCCAGGTGCTGTGGCTCCGAGCCCAGGGTAGCACCTCTTGCCGAGCACATCTGCAGGTTGAGAAACGGACAGCATCCGAATGCAGGTGCACTGTGGGGCTGGGGAGCCATGAGAGGGCAGCAGGCTCAGAGTCTCTCCACGCCCTTCCAGGAACCCCCGGGGTTGCTCAGCTCCATCCACCCTGGGGTGTCCATGTGGCCTGAGGCCGATCATCTCACTTTTCTGAGCCCCCCTTCTCCTGGGGGAAATGGAGCTAATCCTCAGCTTTCCTCTCGGGAGGGTGAAAATGTGCACGGCGAATAGGCTTAACGCCAGCAGCCGGAGGGGTGTCGCTGAGCTGGCCCCTTCCTTCTTCTGCCTGCGTGTCACAGAGCGGGGCGCAGGCTGTGTGACCGGGGTCTCGCCTCTCTCTTCTCGGGGCCGACGAGGCTTTGGGGCGCCCTGTGTCTGAGGGGCCTCCTGGAGCCGTGTCAAGCGACCAAAGGGATGTCACCCTTGCTCTCTGTCTCTCCACCTCCTCGGGGGGACCCGCAGGTGGGACTCAGCCATGGGCAAGCAGAACAGCAAGCTGCGGCCGGAGATGCTGCAGGACCTGCGGGAGAACACGGAGTTCTCCGAGCTGGAGCTGCAGGAATGGTACAAGGGCTTCCTCAAGGACTGCCCCACCGGCATCCTCAACGTGGACGAGTTCAAGAAGATCTACGCCAACTTCTTCCCCTACGGCGACGCCTCCAAGTTCGCCGAGCACGTCTTCCGCACCTTCGACACCAACAGCGACGGCACCATCGACTTCCGGGAGTTCATCATCGCCCTGAGCGTGACCTCTCGCGGCCGCCTGGAGCAGAAGCTGATGTGGGCCTTCAGCATGTACGACCTGGACGGCAACGGCTACATCAGCCGGGAGGAGATGCTAGAAATCGTGCAGGTGAGCAAGCCCCCACCGCCGCCGGCTGCTCAGCCGCGGGCTCCGAACCCCCCACACCCCCCAAAAGCTGAAACCTAAAACTGCCGTGGAGTTAGGGGCAGGAGGGAGGGTCAGGGGTTCGAAGCCAGCCTCGCAGCTAGCATTTCCTGGCGCTGCTTTATCTCTGTGCCCGAGCCAGGCTTTCTGGTTGTTCTCAGCATCGGCTCTTTATACCCCTCAGGTAGAGGAGACATTTCCTAAGAATGATAGGACGGTCTCTTACATACCCAAGCGTGTGATTATCCAAGTCAAGACGTTCAACATAGAAACAATGCTGTCCCTATGTACAGATGCTACGCCACTGTCACAGTGGTCCCTATAGCTCTTGTGTGTGTGCACGCGCGCACGCGCGCGTGCTCGTGCTGGTTTGGGATGCTACGTTGAATTTTGGTGTCCTATTTCGTTAGTTATATTTATTTAGAGGCAGGGTCTCACTGTGTAGCCCTGGCTAGCCTGAAACTCACTTTATAGACCAGGGTGATCTCCAGCTCACAGAGATCTGCCTGTCTCTTCATGCTGAGCGCTGGGATGAGAGAGCACCGCTGCTCCTGGCTTTGCTATTCTGCTTTAATTTGGAATGGTTCCTCCCCTTGCTTTGTCTTTCCCGTCTTGACATCTCTGACACAGGCAAGTTATGTTTGGTTTGCTCTGGTTGGAGACAGGTCTCTCTGCGTAGCTCAGACTGGCTTTGAACTCAGGATCCTCCGGCTTTAGCCCCTGAGCCATAGGGTGACAGGCATGTGTCTGCATGCCCAGCTGTGGCCACCCATCCATCCGTCCACCCATTCATTTGTTTATTCGTTTGTTCACTCACTCAGTCATCTGCTTGCAGTGTTCTACCACCTGGCCTCATCCACAGCTCACAAGGACTGTCTTGTCAATCCTTGTTTACTGAGGAGGAAACATGCTTTGAAAGAGGAAGGCGCTTGCTTGACACACACCTCCCAGGCTTGCGAGTGGGCCACCTGCGCCCCGCACTACATCAGACCCCTGAGCTGAGCACAGGGGTCTGAGCACTCGCAGCGGCTCCCGAGAGTGACAGGTGGAGTGACATGGAGACGTGGGACTGAGCCCAGGCTGGCCACGACTCCAAGCTGCCTTTGGTGACGGCTCCCAGCTTCTAGACAGGAGACGAGGCTTCCAATTCTGGACTGGCTTTAGCTCTTCGGCTGCTCATCTAGAAAACTGGAGCGCTGACAGCAATGCTGATTGCATGAGGAGGTTTCGAGACTTGTCATGAATGTCTTTTCTTAGTACAAACTCAAGTAGGAAACACATTATTTCAGAAACCTTCCACAGCAGCCCATCCCCCTTAGCGCTTTGAAGGCGGTCAGTGCTGTGGTTCTATCTTAGCCACCCTGCGCCTTGCCCGGTTTAAACGCTTGTTTTTAGACAGGGTCTCTCTCTATGTAGTCCTGGCTGGCCTCTCAACATTTTTTTTAACCATATTTATTTATGTGTAGGGGTAGCATTCCATCATGCAGATCTCGGGACTTGAACTAAGGTTTGTCTGCAAGCATCTTTACCTGTTGAGCCACAGCAGACAGCCATATACCTGTGGGCTTTTCCCACTGTTCCAAAGCTCTCACAGACACCAAGGGATTCAGTGAGGGCTTGGTACCCAGTACTTGGTACTCAGTGAATGTTAGGCTGAAGGGACTCTAGCTAGCTCAAGCATCGTAAACATGGCTCCGGCAGGCCTTGCCCTTGTCTCCCATTCCCTCTGCCTTGCTAAACTCTTAGATTGCATTCCTAAAACTGGCCACTAAGCTCTATTCCCTCAGTTGGCCAATTCCTCCTCCTGAGGCTGGGTACTAAGGTCCGGCTCTCAAAGTATTAAAGTCCAGAAATCAAAAGCTCCCTTTGGCTCACCTAATTAACATGCCCAACTAAAATTAAATACCTCACCTTAACATGGGTTTCTCCTTTTACCTTTATAAACCACTGTTTTCCTCTCCATGCAGAGGCAGTTCTTTGTCCTCTGGGACAAAATACCCCTCCTCCTTCCCTTGTTCACATCACCTTCTGCCTCCTCCTCTGTCTCCTGTCTCTTTTTCCTGTCCTCTGTCCCCCTGGGGAAAATTAATCTCCTCTGTGCCGAGAACTTGGCCTTGGGGGTCCTGGGCCGATCCTTTTCCTTTCAGTGGCTGTCAGTCATTCTTTTCACCATTCATCTCCTGCACAGGCTGAAATGGCCTTGTAGGCGTCTCCAAGATTGAGACTTTGTGCAAGGCCCCTTCCTGCACCTCAGCCTCCTTCCCTCCCAGCCCCTCTGTTTCCTGGGCTGCTAACCGCTCCGGTCCATCCAGCCACTAGCTTCCCCCTCTTGCTGGGGATGTGGATCTCAATTGGGACAGCTGTCTTGGGAAGTGATGTGTTCCCTCTGCCAATTGCCTGTTGCCTCAGTGTTTGTCCCAGAAGTCTCTGGACCATGCACCCCTCTTGGGAGGCAGGGTGATGGGGGATTCTGGGGGTCCTGCTGGAAAGGTCAAAGTGGTGGTGGAGGATCATTTGGGGACCTGAGGGATACCAGCAACCTCTCACACTGGTGAATCTCAGCCTGTCTGAAGCCGCCACCCTGCCCATCCCTTAGGCATCCCTGGACCTTTTTTTTTTTTTTTTCTGGCTTCTGTTCTCCAGACCCCGACTTCTACAACAGCCCAGAGGCTCCAGACGGCTGGAGCAGACAGTGCTCTGTGAACCTCAGGGCCTGATTAATGACAAGTAGGCTCCAGTGAAACTCTGGGCGAGCAGACAATTAATTAGAAGGATTGTCACAGGGAGAATGGCCACTCTCTAAGTCACTGTCCAGTCCTTCTCCCATCCCAGTCCTACACTGGGTGATGGCACAGTGGGAGGAAGGAGGCAGAGTGCTTCACAGGGCTCCTGCTCTGATAGGGAAGAGGAAGGCACAGGCCACACTGATGTGGTCAGTGGCGCCATATAAAAGCAGTATCTGGGAGTCCAGGGGACTGAAAAACTCAAGGGCACAGCGGATGAAGAATGACACGACACTCTGAGCTGCTGCTCGGTGACCACCTACCTACTCTCGCCAGCCATTGTTGTATTTTTCTGTCTTGTTTCATCGTTGTAGACAATTCCAATGAGACAGACACAGTACTCCATTTTGCAGAGGGAAACTGAGGCTCTCAGAGGCTAAGTTCTTATCCGAGCAGACGCAGCAAGGGCAGAATGGACCAGGATGTCACTTCCGACACCCTGCTGTTTATCACTCCAGATTGCCCAAGCATGCATCTTAGCACAACATCTCTCAACCTGTGGGTCGCGACCCCTTTGGGGGTGTTGAACGATCTTTTCACAGGGGTTGCATGTCAGATATCCTGTATATAAGATACTTATATTACAATTCGTAGCGGTAGCAAAATTACAGTTATGAAGTAGCAAAAAAATAATGATTGTATGGTTGGGGCGGGCTCACCACAACATGAGGAACTGTATTTAAGGGTCGCAGGATTAGGAAGGGTGAGAATTACCGTATTAGCAGCTAAAAGGGAGCAGACAGACGGTGATCCAGTGTTGTCCGTCAATTTCCTCCTCAAACCTTGGTTTCTTATTCAGAAAGGGAAGTTTTGATCCGTGCTTCTTTGGGCTGATGTGCAGTTTAGAAATCCTGCATGCATGTCGCCACTATGGCACACACCTTGGAAGGCAGAAGCAGGAGATCTCTGAGTTCAAGGCCAGCTTGGTCTACAGAGTTCCAGGACAGGACAGGGCTACACAAGGAAACCCTGTCTCGAAAAACAGAACAAACAAAACTGCTCGTGGGGCCTGGCGCATAGTGCTTGCAAGATAAAGGGTAGCTCATAATCCAGGCAGAGGGTGTAAATGCTGGGGGAATCTGAAAGGCCCAGGGATGTTCCTTGTGACAGAACTACCCCTCCAGTGAGGCCTGGTGACGGTGAGGCCAGCGTTGGACACCCTGTGAAGTACCTTGAATGCCAAAAGCAAATGGTTTGGACTTGGTACAGAGAGCGGTGGGAGGTGACAACGGCCTTTAAAGAGGGGGTTCCCTGGCACGTGAGTAGGCACTGAGCTGGGACTGGGGAATCTGAGTGGTGAGAACTAGGTACCATCCTCCGGGGAGGCGATCACTTCCTGAGCGGCGTCCTCGGAGGAAAAGCCTAGGAAGCCCTGCAGCCAGTGCGCCCTGACCCAGGCGGGTTCACAGGTGACCTCGCTAGGAAAGCATCGCAGACGGAATCCCAGGGAGGAGGGGGAGGCGGCATCCTTAAGGAACCGGTGCGCGGTGGGCCGGGAGGGAGGACTGTGGGTGCCCGGAACACTGCCGGCTTAGGGGCGTGGTCGAGGAGGTTTGTGTTTGGAAAGAGCGTGGAGAGGCGGTGTGTGGGGGACAGATCTGCAGGAAAAGAGGCCAGAAAAGAGCAGTGCAGAGACGAAGCTGGACAGGAAGGGCGTGGAGGAAAGGGTTATTATATGGCTCAGGGGAAAGAAAGGAGGCTCCTTGGAGGTGTCACTGTGGGGAAAAAAAAAAAAGAACTGCACGTCCGAGGTGACCAGTCCGGTCTCTGAGCTCCAGGGAGCAGCAGAAACATAGCCCATCCCACAGGCTGAACAGCTCTGTGCATTTAGCTCAGAAACTCTCCTTCGTGTTGCCTCGGGGGCTCCTACACGAGGCAGCTGCCGCCCTCAGCCTGGCAGAGCTCAGGCTGTCCCTGGCCGGGTGGCAGGTGCTCATTTACATTCGTTTGCATAATGTTCCCGCCCCTTCTTGGTCCCAGCTGCCGCCGCGCTGCTCCGCGCCCCCTGTCGGCCACACGCCGCAGTGCAGCCCAGTGCCCGCTCCCTCGGCTCAGCGCCCCCTGGAGGTCACTGAGCGGGAGTGCTAACTCAGCCCAGGCGCGAGCGCCCACGTTTGGCGTTGTAGGCACTTTTGCTATCTAGGCTCTCTTGTCCTCCAACATCTGCCTTGACTCCGTGCACCCCAGGGTCTTGGCATCCACCTGGAGCTTTTCAGGTCCCAGTGCCTTGGTTCATCAGCTCCATCAGCTCGTCTCACCTGCTCCTCTAGGGCCCCGGGCCCAGGGCACTCTTCAGTGACCTCTTTTAAAAAGCCCTTCCAGACTCCCCCCACCCCCACCCCGTCATGGAGCAGGACCCTGGGATGTTTATGGAGACAGAGATCTGGATGGGGGGGGGGGTTTACGTCAGCTGTTCTCACTCCCTGATGTCCTCCCCCGACACCCCACAGGCCATTTATAAGATGGTTTCGTCCGTGATGAAGATGCCTGAGGACGAGTCGACCCCGGAAAAGAGGACTGAGAAAATCTTCCGCCAAATGGACACGAACAACGACGGTGAGCGGCCGGGGGGTGGGCGGCCTCCCCCTCTCTCCCTCTCCCGCACCACCTGCCTGGCTTCGCGGCTGCGCCCTCCCTCCTCACGGCCCTCCCCTCGCTCTGCAGGCAAGCTGTCACTGGAGGAGTTCATCCGCGGGGCCAAGAGCGATCCATCGATCGTGCGCCTGCTGCAGTGTGACCCCAGCAGCGCCTCCCAGTTCTGAGCCCAGAGGAGCCAGCCCGCCTCCCCGCCTCCCCCGGCCCTCAGCTTCCTCTCCCTCCCTCGTGTCTATCCAGGCTGGGGGCCACACTGGGGATCCCTTCCCGGGGTCTGCACTGTGGGGGGGGGGGGGCTCTGGAGAAGCGAACCCTGCAAGAAAGGGGCTAAGCGAGGCAGCAGTTAGCACCCACGGCCCTAGAGGCCGAGTCTCCCTTAGCGGGACCAAGATGACCCTGTGGTTTGGTCTGTCCGGGTTATGTACTCTTTACTTAGACAGCTGGACCACCTTCCACGAACCCACAGACCCGAGGCTCTTTCACAGGGCGGGGGTGGGGGGTGGGTCCCCCTTGGGTGGTCCTCAGCCTGGAGGGAGGGGGGAGGAGTCGTACCAAGGTGAAGAATCTTTTCTGTTTGGTGGGGAGACATGAGGATTCCAAGGCTGTGGGGCTTGGAAGAAGTTCCTTGATCTACTTCCCTGCCCCTGCCCTTGCTGGCTGGAGGCCGTGGTAAAAAAAAAGAAGAAGAAGAAGAAAAAAAAAAACTCCCAGGATTCCATCTGGAGGTCCCCAAACCCAAACCCAGCCTGCCTCTTTGCACTTGGATAATCACGGATCTGACCCCTCTGTATATTGTATTTCACCCCCTTCACACGCACGCACACGCTCTCGCAGCACACACACAGACTCACAGACTGATGGCAGAGCCCCCCACAGCATTCGGTGTGGGAAGGAAGTGCAGGCCCCTGGCCAAGCCCCACCTCCCTCTGCATGCAGCCACACGGAGCATCTCTGTTCTTTTTAATAACTTCAGAATAAAGTCTTGTTTCAGTGCAGACTGCTTGGCGGCCAGTGTGCCCAGGGGTCCACTGAGCTTTCTTGGGCCTGCTCTAGGAGTCCTGGGCGCAGGTCAGTGCAAGCTTCATCACATGTCCAGGCTTGGTCACGTGCCTCAGTAGCCATGGTGCTGCTGAGGTGTCAGAGGGTCAGCTGCACGGAGCTGGCGCAGCTCAGGAGGTCGTGGCCATCCAGGGGCTCTGGGCTTGCTTGTATCTGCAGACAGAGGAAACAGTTTGTTTCATCAGGGCTGGGTTGGGGTCTCTAGCCCAGGACACCTCAAACTGGAGGAAGGAGAGACTAGGGCCTCCTGGGGCAGGATATCACTATCACCCATTTGAGACAGGCCAAGACCCCCCCCCCCAGTGTCCCCAAAGACCCGGGAGAGCCAGATGTCAGCTGTGGACTGGTCGGGCCTCTCTGGACTTTGGAGCCCTTTGGTGGCTGGAGCAAACTTTTGCCCCCGTTATCTGAGGCTCTGTTCAGAGAGGGGTGAGACTGACTAATCAAGGGCCCCCAGCCGGGGCCCCCCAGGACTGCAGAGGGAACCTACCGTGTGGTGGCAGCTTTCCCCCCACCAGGGCCTCAGTTCCAGCAGCCGGTGCACGAGCTGGGCGCAGCGCACGGCAGACACGCTCTCCGCCACACAGAACATGAGAGAGATGGCCCAGAGGCACAGGCTGGAGCTCTGCAGGGTACAGGGGCGCAGGCATCCACTTAGGGAGAGGGGCACAGCTAGATTCCAAGGGTCCTCCCCAGCCCGCTCCCGGAGGCTCAAACACTCACATAAATCCGAGTGGGGTCAAAAGGACAGTCAGGTGCGAGCGTCGGGAGCTCAGGGCTCTCAAAAGTACAGGCTGCCAGCAGCGCCCTGCCCTGGGTGGCGAAAGTCACCGCGATGGAGGCCAGGAGTCCAACAGCACAGGTCAGAGAAAGCAGGCCACAGGCCACGCTCAAGCTAAACACGGTCCAGCGCTGGGCAGGAAGAGCACGGATCAGCGGGTATCATGCTTGCCCCCCCCAGGGGGGGCTGCTGACCCCGCCCGCAGTCCTACGTGAGGAAGAGCCACATACCAAAGGGGTGCTGGGGAGGTAGCGAGACAAGACGACGGCTGCAATTCCAGTGAGGATGACCTGTGGGGAAGCTTGGATCAGCTCTGATGCTGGAGCTGGGGGACAGCTCGTGGGGCCAGACCCACACTTGGAAAAAGACCTCCCAGTCCTCCCCAGCCCTGCAATCCCCGCTCCCACTCATGGCCTCCGAAGGGACGTCACCCTCCATCACCCACTGCCCACGGCCTTCCCGGGTCCTCCCCACCGCCTAAAGCTGAGTGCCTCCCGACAGGGCCTCGAGTATCCCAAGTTTGCTGGCACAAACATACATCCTATATGCTGGGCCACAGGACACACACGACATCGCTCCCAGGGATGGAAAACGACTTTAGGGGAGACGAATTCTGCTAATAAGGGACTAAAAAACAAACAAACCAGAAACCAGGTATTGGTGGCAGACGCCTAGAATCCCGGCAATGAGGCAGGTGGGTCGCAGCAGCCAGCCTGGTCTACATAAAAAAAAAAGTCCCCGTTCAGCCAGGACTATGTAGTGAGGCCCCATCTTAGATGGACAGGACAGGTCATGAACAGAATCTCTGAAGAGAGGGCTGAGGGCGGAGCTCGGGAATAGCATGCTTGCCTAGCACTCGTGAAGCCCGGGTTCAAATCTGAATACCACAGATGACAAAGATGCTCCCCTGGAAGCATCGAGTTATACCAGGCTTTTGCCGACCTAGTCGTGGCCCTCTCTGTCTTCCCTCATTGCTCTGGGTATGGGTGACCCACAGAGCTTCCTCTCTGAGAGCATCCTTCTCGTCCCTGCATCCTAATGCCACTTGACCCCCAGAGACGAGAGCAGTGGGGCGAATCTTCCATTCCTGGGCAGCTGGGAGTGGGGAGGATTTACAGGGGAAGGGGAGGGGGGAGAGGAAAGCAAAGGCCCAGCGGTCTAGCCCAGAGCCTCCTGACCCCAGGGCTGGCCACCTTCTGTGCCTTCCTCAAATGGCTGCTGAGCAAAACAGATACTGATGGGAACACAGCAGCACCCTCTTCCTGCTGCTGGCATTTCCACAGGTTCACCGCTGCCTGGAGGCCAGCGGGCTGTCTGAGCTTCATTCTGTAGGCAGAGACCAGCTCAGAGAGCAAGGTCCCTCAGCCAGGAAAGAAACAGCAGGTCCCCCAAAGTTGAGCAGATTACCCCCAAGTCTGCAGCTGCCTTAGCCGACGGGCGGAGAAAAGCCTCCTCAACCTAAGCCCACCAGCCTCTTTCCTTCAGTCATTCATCGAACAGGCGGCTGTCCAGGTCAGGTCGCACATGGCTGCCTCTCAGCATGTCGATCCACTCTAACGATAAACTCCTGCCTAACTGCCTTACCCGGTGTCTCCAGGTCAGATGCCAGCCACTCCCGGCTCCGCACCGTGGCACCTGCCACAGTCCGAGCGTGGAATGCCACCCTGGCATGCTCTCCTGCCAGCAGGCCCCAGACTGCCCCACACCTGAGTTATTAATTACAGGGCACTGGGAACTCCTGCTCACCCATGGCCACCCGGCTCGGAGGTCTGTGTCTCTGTGCAGCCCTCCCGGCTCCTCCCTAGCCAAGCGATGTTCATTCCCTCTGAACCACCACACCGAGATTACCTGCCCCAGTGGTCCACGCTAGCCTCGTGCCAGGCCCCCAGTTAGGCACCTTCTGTGGATGCCTTCGCCGCCCCTACTCTACAGAGGACACCATTGAGGTAGAGAGGGTTTGAGTGCCTGCACTGTCGGTGCCTGGTTCCCAGGGTTGGTGCTCGGGGCCCTCCCTCTTGCTGGCCATACCACAATGGCAGAGGTGACGGAGAGGATGTCCACTGCGCAGTACTGGAGGACCACGGCGTCGCTGGTGGCAGCCACGAAGCGAAGCATGGTGCCGTGGAGCACAGCCGCTGTGATGAAGCTCACGTGACCCAGCACGACCAGCACCAGACCTGTCTTCATCAGCACCTTCCGGAACTCACCCACATTCAGGCCGCCTGTGGGGACACACGTCGGGGGTTGGGGTGAGGCGCTCCTGCTGGGCAGTGGGCCTTCTGGACCGCCCCTGTTTCTTCACTCTTAAATGCTCCACAGTTGGCTTTTAGTCCTTGAATTTCGAGGTTGGAAAAGCCTCCCACGGAGCCATTCATTCATTCATTCATTCACTCATCTGTTCTGTATATAAAACTGTCCCGTATGTCCATTCCAGGCCAGTCGCTAGGGTACCTAGAAGCTCAAAGGTTCTGTCCAGGCCTCAAGGAGCCCACAGTGTATTGGGCAGGAGCTAGGCCCCACAGGGTGGTCAGTCTGGCACATGGGGAACGGCACACACAGTAGTTAACATTCAGCTGCTCAATGGAGAGGTTGAGGGCCGTGCCCAGAGAGGAAAAGGGACCTTGTTTCTTAGTGTGGGCAAGAACTGTGGGTGGATTGGAAGGTCTCGGGGACTCTTAGTGAAGGGGTGTTGACTGGGGCTGGGACCAGGAGGGAGGCTGGCAACAAACACACTTTCTGAGTGGCCAAGTGGCCAAGTCCTATTACATCTCCATAGCAGGAAGCCCTCCTCTTCCTCCTCTTCTTCCTCCTCCTCTTCTGAGCTGCTTCCTACAACAACATCCCCCGTGGCTCTTAACCCTGCACCTGGACCCTCGCGTCCCTTCCATTTATCCTGCTCTGACAGACTGGAAGATGTGGCTGGCTCTCTCAGCTAAGCTGAGCCCTTCTCCGTTTGCTGCTCCCAGTGGGCTCTGCCTTCGAGACCCTTGCCAAACCTTCCCCACTTGGGCCAGAGGTTCGACCCTGTTCCCTCTATGTGAGCTCTGCAGCTGAAAACAAGAAAGGGAGAAAGGACCATTATGCCAGAGGTTCTCTGGGCAATTGCAGGGGGTCAACGAACGTGGCTCATGATCCCTGTATTCAGGAGACTGAGGCCAGAGGATTGCTGTGAATTCAGGGTCAGCTTAGTAACAGAGCGAGGCTCTGCCTATATAATATAATAAATATAATATAATATAGTATAATGTTATATCATATCATATCATTATATTATAATTTTCTTCATTGGGGTAGCCACTGGTAAATTGCCCATCTTTCAGTAAAATGCCCCCTTATACTCCTGTAAGCAACCCTAATTAAACTCAATAAGACACACAGAGCTAATTTGGGGGAGCAAGGAGGAGCCTGTCTAGACAGCCACAGACTCACTGTAGACCTGGTACCAGCCACCCCTCCCCTCTGGGCCCTGGATTCTTCATGCCTTAACCCAGGAGGGGTCGGCCTAAGTGGTCTCTGAGCTCTCCCCTAGAGATCGCAGGCTCTGGGGCTGGCAAGGCCCGAGGAACTGGAATGGCCTTGTGAAGATGAACAGCTGGCCAAACAGGAAGAGGAATGGCAGCCTTGTTCCAGGGACCTGCGGGGTCCCAACCTCACCCCCCTCATCTCATCCCCCCACCCATCCACCAGTAGCAACCCTGACACTACTGAGCCTTGCCTGGGCTCAAAACCAGCAGCATCGCTGGACCCAGGCTTTAGGCAAACAGGAAGCTAGGGTTGTGCCTCCGCACTGGTCCGAGAGTTCAAGGCAGGCTTTGTTTCTCAGTTCCCGTGCTGGGAGCATTGGGCAACGTGGCTGGCAGGGTGCTAGGCGTTTATTACCAGCCTCACCCTGGTCAAGAGGCGGGTGCGACTGTCCTCCTTCTGCGAAGAAATGGGCACGGCTCAGAAGACATGTGTGCTGGAGAGTGGGCACCTCAGACCCCAAGCAGCAGGCTTTGCCCAGGGAATGGGGCACACCTGTCTCCCCGTCCGTGAGCCTGGTGTCTGGCCTCTCCCTCCAGCCTGGCCGGGGGAGAGGAGGTAATGGATGGGACCGGAGACCCTGGACCTGAATCCCATCTCGGATCCCACAGCCTAGTTTTGCCCACTAGAGCGGAAAATGGGGCCAGGAGGCCCAGGGTGCAGTGGAGACACCAAAAGCAGATTTACTCAGACCTGGGCCTCATTGGCACAAACCTGGGGCCCCCAGCTACGTGGGAGGTTGAGGCAGGAGGCTCCAGGGTTCAAAGTTAGAGTGAGCTAGGCACTGAGTTCCAGGCTAGTCCCTTGTAACTTCGCTGTCTCGGAATTTTGGGGCTGGTGTGGAACTCAGTGGTAGAGAACTTGCCTGAGTCAAATAAAAACCCAGCCGCCTGTTACCCCGCCTCCATCTCACTTCTGGGGAAACTGAGGCCGAGAGGAAAGTGACCCGCATCAGGTCAGTACGTGAGGCAGGGCTGGGCTGGGCGGACGGCCTGGCTCCAGGTTGGGTCCCCCCCCAGGGTAGGCCCCCCCGTGCGCCCCAGCTCACCGAGGCGCAGACACATGGCGCTCCCAGCCAGTGGCCCCCGCCGGCGTCAGCGGGGCCTCGCTCTCATCCTGCTCACCGGCGGCCTGAGCTCCTCTTCCCGCCGGAGCAGGCAGCAGGCGCCCGACGGCCTCCCTTCCCTGCACCCCGCAGGCCGCCCAGCCCGGCACCCCGCGCGCCGCTGAGGCCGGTCCGACCGGCTGGGCGACCCCGGGACTGCGCGGCTGACTCACGGCCCCGCCCCTGCCGCGGAGCCAGGCGCCGCCTGCACGCCCATTGCGCCGAAGGAAATCGAGGCTCAGGGACCCGGCGCGGGGGTGGCCAAGAACCCTGCGAGATGAAAGCTGGGAGTGAGCGCGGGGAGTGGGCAGGGGGAGGCCCAGGGTCTGCTTTTAATCCACTGGGTAACTTCAGAGCAATCGCTTTCCCTCCCCGGGCCTTCCTTTGTCTGGTCTTCCCTGTTTGTGTAAGGTGCTTTTCCTTTCTGTCTTGGTGGTGTTGGCAACGGGTTGGCAACGACTCTGTTTGCTCCCTGGAAAACCAAGGATAATAATTCTTGTACCCTGATAGAAGAAAACGCAGTCTTAGAAAAAGAGAGAAATGACAGGGGTCAGTGAGGTGACTCAGCCAGTGTAAGTCCCTTGTCTGATGAGTTCCATCCCTGAGACACGATGGAAGGAGAATCAACACCTGAATGTTGTTCTTTGACCTCAGCTATGTTACTAACATACTGTCGAACAAACATTACACACACACACACACACACACACACACACACACACACACACACAGGCACGCATGCACATGCAAAAGACAGGGTCTCACTGTGTAGCCCTGACTGTCCTGGAACTCACAAGAACCAGGCTGGCCTTGAACTCACAGAGCTCCTGGAATGCCTACTGTTGGGGCTGGAGAGTTGGCTCGATTGTTGTTGCAAAGGACCCAGGACTGAGTCCCAGCACCCAGGTGAAGAAGGTTCACCATAGGCACCAGACACACGTAAGGTACACGGATGTCCATGCGGTGGCCACCTCCCTGGGCCACTGAGGTCCAGCAGCAGGTCTTTCGGAGGTCACTAACTGGAGCTACCAGATCCTACTCCGCATTCTGTACCCCGTCGGTCCGTAGTCTCCATGGAAGAGGCTGGCCTCACGTCTACGGGTTCTCAGTGCCTGGAACCCAGGGGTCCAGTGAGTGTGTACCTGTAGTGACACCTACTGTGTGCCTCCTGTCACCTGGATCCGCACATCCAACTTCTGGAGGTCGGAAGACAAATGAGCAGAGGGGAGGGGGTCAGAAGCCCCAGACACTGCCGGTCGAGCACAGGTCAAGCAGGCTGCTCTGGCGGCTCTCCACAGCTGGGCCTTTCTTAGCAGCTGATGTCTGAAGGGGACGTGGCACAATGGGTGAGGGATGGAGACAGACTTGCTGGTGAAAGGGAAGATGGAGGCAGGTCATTAAGCCGTTAGCTGGTGCCCTGCCTAGCGGTGTCCACGGGGTCCTTTAGCAGTCGCTTGGGCAGCACTTAGAAGGGTTGGCAAAGGGTTACACGTTTATAATTTTAGCCCAGCGACTCTATTTTTAGGTTGTTATCCTGCAAGAGATGGACGGTGGTGATGTTTGTGGACGTGGGAGCCGCTCCTGAAAGAAGCAGGGCCCCAGAGCCATAACCGAGGCTCTGCTCTTTGCCTCATGCACGGAGCTGTTGTTGGAATCCTACGCAGAACATTTACCCGTGTCTCGCTTTTGCTGAAAAAGAAAGGGCTCTCTCACACTTCCTCCACCGATGGCTCTCAGATGACAGAGCCCACCTCCCTGGGCTGCCCTGAGGAGGGCCTGTGGTCACCGGCACCCTAAATTGCTGGTGTGGTGTTTCTCTGTCAGTGCAGGACACTGAGGAAGGCCGGAACGCCTGGAGCTGGCTTAGGGACCCGGCCTTTTAAATGTCATTGCTAGAGCTGGAGAGACGGCTCAGTGGTTAAGGACACTCCCAGCACCATCATGGCAGCAACTATCTGTAACCCCAGCTCTAGGGCATCTGATGCCCTTTTCTGGTCTCGGAGGGCACTCCGAGAGCTCGGGGTACCTGAACTCATACAAGCACAGGTCCATACACATGAAAATAAATAAATGAAGTAACCTTTGCTACCAGATGCACAGATGGCTTCTTTGCGTCCCTAGAAGCAGAGTTAATCAGTCAGGTCTGAAGATAAGAAAAGCAAGGGTTGGAAAGAGTAATGGACTCTCCCACTATCCCGCATACAGCTCGGTGAGAGCCCAGGCTCAACTCCAGGCCTGCCTACAAGGCAGCTCCTTGCTTCTGAGTATGTCCTGGAGGACGAAGAGAGAGAGCCATGGCCTCCAAAACTGCGCCCAGTCCAGGGGCCCCTGAGTTGGGCCAGCGATGGCTCTGTGTGCCTCATTGGACTGTAATTTTCCAGCTACCATCCACGTTTAGTGACTTGAGCTTATCACCAGTCCTTTTCCTGGTGACTAAAGTCCACCGTCCCAGCCTTGCGTGACCCTTCCTTCCTCCACACGCTGCCTTACACTCGGGGGGGGGGGGGGGAAGCAAAAGAGTCCTTCCAGATCAGAGTTCTAGTACCTTCCGCCAGCTTACTGTGGCCTTCTGGCCGATCACTGCTGGTCTCCAGGCCTCAGTTTCCTGGTCTGAGGGGATGATAATGGGTCTTCTAGGCTCCGTCATTTCTGAGCCTTAATGACCTGAGAGGTGTAAAAGATTGAAACCAGGCCAGAGGAACGCAAGGATTGATGTTCTTCCTGGAACACTGGAGCAGGCGTGGCCCGGTGGATTTGCACTGGAGTCAGTGTTTCCAGGGTGTGACCTCCTGGTGGCTGTTCTGCTGGGGGGTGGGGGAGGTCGTGTGCAGCCTCTCCTCAATTTAATAACTGTATCAGTGACTTGTTTCACTGTGGAGACAAGATACTTTACAACTTAGAGGAGAAAGGGCTTGTAGCGGCTCCTAGGAAGTACAGCCCAGTGTGGTCAGGAAGTGAGATCAACAGGCGGATGAGGCAGCCACGTTGTATCCACAGCCAGGAAAGGGAGAGAAGTGAACGCTTGGATTTGGCTTGCTTTCCTCCCCAGCCCATGAAATGGGAGCACCCACATTTCGGCTGGCCCTGGCCATCTCCTTTAACCCCACGCAGAGAATCACGTACAGGCACCTTCAGAGGCCCGTCTCTGGTGATTCTAGCTTGTGCCAAGTTGACAAATCCTATTAATCACCCCGAACCCCAAATCCCGAACTTCCTCTGTGTAAACAACACAGCAGCACACGGCCACACCGCACGGACGTAAAACTAAAGAGAAGCGCCGTGGAGATGGTCCGGTGGGTAAAGGCGCCTGCCGCCAGCCCTGATGAGCTGAGGGTGATCCTGAGACCCACGAGGTGAAAGGAGAGACCTGACTCCTACAGGTTGCCCCCTGACCTCCGAGTGTGTCAAGCGACACGTGCACACACAAGTAAATAGGTAGATGTAAAAAAAAAAAAAAAAATTAAATTGGGGCTGGGAAAACAGGGCAAAGGTTTTGTTTTTGTTTCTGAGACAGGCTCTCACGATGTAGACCAGGCTGGCCTCAAACTCACAGAGACCCACCTGCTGCTGCCTCCTGGATGCTGGGATGAAAAGCGTGTGCCACCATACCCGGCTAAGTAAAGGCTTGGCCGCTGAGCATAAAGTTGAGCGTGACTCCCCCCTCAGGATGCACTGGGCAAAGAGAATTTCTGCAAGTTGTCCTTTAGACACACACAAATAAATAATCCTGCCAGGCATGGTGGCACACACCTTTAATCCCAGCACTTGGGAGGCAGAGGTGGGCGGATCTCTGAGTTTGAGATCAGCCTGGTTTGTAGAGCAAGTTCCAGGACAGCCAGGGATACACAGAGAAGCCCTGGCTTGAAAAACCTACATAAATAAATAAACAAATAAATGCTGAAAAGGGAAAATAAACTAAAGCCAAGTGGCCATACTTGTCTGAGAGACAGAAGTACGGTTATAAAAGATTTCCGATATAGCTCTAAGCATTTAATTTGATTTATTAATTACATTTTTTTTTTTGAGGTAGCGTCTCTCTGTGTAGCCCTGGCTGTCCTGGACTCGCTCTGTAGACCAGGCTGGCCTCATACTCCAGTCTGCCTCTGCATCCCGAGTGCTGGCATTGAAGGTGTGTACTGCCACTGCCCGGCTTGAATTACATTTATTTACTCTGAGCGAGTGAGTGTGAGTGTGCGTGTTCGTGTGTGTGTGTGTGTGTGTGTGTGTGTGTGCGCGTGCGCACGAGCGCTCGTGCGCCTGGCATCCCATGGCCTGCTCTGTTCTCCATCCTCCCAGTGAGGTGGCATGCCGAGGGGAGGGGTTACAGGGACACTCAGGACACGTGACTTGCATGCACACTGGAACCCACGAAGTAATGCTCTCATGCCTTTGATTCCTGACTCCTTCTGTGCTCCCCAGACCCCCCTGCCTCCTCCTCAGCCCCCAGCAGTGTGGCCTCTGCCGCCCACAGCAGAGTCCCTGCTCTGCTCACCAGTGGCCCCTGCCGCCGAATCCAAGCCAATCCATTTGGGTCCCTGCTCATGACTGTTGATCACGGGCCTTGCGCTTCTGTCTCGCACTTCCTTCCTGGGCATCCTCCTTGGGCTCCTCACAGGGTCTCCGTGTTGACTTTCTGTCCTCGCTGGTGTTCTGTCTGTCCCTCGGGCTCCCTTACTGTCCCTCCTGCTCCTGCTTCACTAGCCCTCATTCTTGGCATATTTATTTCCTCTTTGATGATTCTTAAACCCCATCCCAGACCTGCAGCTGAGTATCCACGGACCTTACCTCCCCATGTAGGTGTCCCCAAGTCACCACAAACTCATCTGATCACTTTACCTCCCCGGCACTGTCTTGTCTCGTGTGGTGGCATCCTAGGACCCCAGACACGAGCCTGGGAGATGTCTATTCTTCCGCGCATGTCAGTCACCAGTCCTGCACGGTCACCTTGTGCTTCCCTGACAGGGGCCTTCCCCTGTCTCCGCTGCTGGTGGCCTGTTCACCCAGCACCCCTTGCTCTCCAATCGCCTTTCCCCATTTCTGAGCAATCCTTTGATTTAAAGTGTAAATCAAAGCGAGGCATTGTACCATGTGCCATGAGCCCAGCATGCAGGAAACCAAGG